ACAACCTTAAAACAAGACTCATTATATTTCAAATAAAAAAGTCAAAATCTCCATATCAGAAACCAAACGCGCAGCATTTCTAGTAAACAAACTTGTATTGCAATATTTCCTAGTCATCGTTCCGCTCACAGTGGTGTTGTTTAAGCACATCTATCTCAACTTCTATATTGAAGACATCTTTTGGGGGAATGGAGTGAATCTATTTGTAATGCTGAGAGGCTTCCATTACCACCTTGTCCATGAACTGACATTTCTTGTCAAATCCCCACCCTGGGTTGCTCTGTAAGATAGATAATTGTCAGATATTACAACACAGTTGAAACATACGAAACACGCGTCCAGGTAAAAGATGAAACAGTCACAAGATATCTTTATCTTTTAGATACATCATTAATTTAAGAAAAAACAAACAACTAATCTATAGAACTAACTTAGGATTTTCAAAGGAGCCAAAGACCTTTGATATAAAAATGAAAAAAAGAAAGATGATAATACATAAACAACATAGCAAGTGTAATCCCACAAATGGGGAAAAGAAAGATGATAGTGACTGATAATATTCGAATTGAACACTATAAAAAAGGTCTGTAGTCCCATAACATTCAATGAAAAACTTCTTCCCACAAGAGCAACATATCCAGAAAGCATTATCAAGTATATTAGAAATCATGGGTTGTTGGTACTAGTCTCATTTAAAGAGGGATAGTTATTCTTTTATAAGTAAATAGAAGACGATAATAGTCATTTTGGGGGGGGAGATAGCCTATCTATACATGACACATTGTAGTAAATTTTCCAATTTCGACATTTTACATGGCAAGTTTAAGACCACACAATTCAAAGGACTACACACATCTTTAATTTAAGTGATGAGGTTTCATACTGTTTTGTACTAATTATGATGGGATATCCCTGCAATACACGTAAATAGAGACTAGTGACCAAATAAGAAGAAGATTGATTCCCTCATTTTGCAAGTCAGTTTTTCATTTCTTTAATGCTGAGAGAGAAATCTTTCATTCTTAGACCAGTTTTCTATGTCTTAATATTCAAGTAATGAGGTTTCATACTGTTTCATTCTTATTAGGCTTAAAATATAATTAAAAGCAAATGAATGTTTGATAATACTTGACCTGTAGAGATAGAACAGCACGCTCTGTGAACCGCTTTACTGAATTGGGTGCACTTTCTGGAAGAGTTTTTGCTACTCTTTCCAGCTCTTGTTGCTGTTGCTTTGCCGTTACTCTATCGGGCCCACTGTAGTAATCAACTATCTCTTTCATAAGTGGGACAGTCTCCATAGTTTCTTTGATGACTTCCTGCAAGGAAAAAATGGATGTGAAGTCAGCTAAAGAAGATGATCAACAAAGAAAAAGTTACCGAGAGATTAACTGCTTCATTTTTTATGATCATTAAGTCGAACAATTTCTTTCCTAAGCGGCACAGTGTCCAGACTCAACTGCAATGAAAACAGAATTGGGTGATTCTGCTGGATCTGGAGCTTATAGTATTATTAAGGGGAAAAGGTTATTTAGAAATAGCTTGGTAGCTAGTAAGGAGGTAACCTATCTATGTATTAATTTCTGTGCAAGTTATACAACATCTGGTAGCTAGTTATGAAGTTAGTTATCCATGTATAAAATTAATATGACGGTTGGTTTGCAATTAAGAAACTCACATAACTAATACATGTAGAAGTTATGACGGAATTGGTGTATTATCTTATGCAGGGTAGAAGATGGAATAACCAATACCTGCATAACTATCACTTGCATAACTAATACCTGCACAATTCTAACCAACTACTAAACGACTCCTTGGTGTTGTTAAGAGCCATTGTTTTGTTGCTTAAGGGATGTGAAGCAACGGCAATCGTTTCATGGGTGAAGACATGCGCTACACGTAATTGTGTATTTTAAGCAATAACATAAAGTGATTCACGCGCGAAACAGTTGGTTCTCTGAATCTCAACTTAGAGGGGTTGACTCATATCATTGTATATTGGATGCTAAAATTAGTTATTTTAATAGCAATTTGATTATTATAGAACTAAAATTTATACATAAGATTTTTTTAGAAAAAATCCTTATATTATGCTCTTCACCTAAAAAAAAAGGCTTCCCATCGTTTCTCCCTTTTCACTCCAAACCTCATGGGCCTTGTTGCCTGTTTGCGCTTTCTGTTTACAGAACTGTGGTTATTTCATCGATGTTGACGCGAGTAAGGGAAGAGGCACAACTTGAGCTACCTTGTGGGAGAACCAAGGGATGAGCAATAGCACTAAAGGCAAATGTTCTCTTAATTTCATAGCATAAGGTTTACTTCTGTGTATGAATCGAAGTTTCCAACTGTGACAGATTGTCCCTATTAGGGGACTGCTTTGGCCCATGAAGTCTGAATATCCAATTAGGAAAGAAGTTTAAATTGACATTTTTAGTTGATACTTCTTTATAGGAAAACCAGCATAAACACTTCCATGATAAAGCTTCATCTAAAAGCATGAGACTTTTGAACCTGCCACTATACAGTACAATCCCCAAAGGTTCAGGAATGTAGAATCCATAGAACAATCACTATAACTACATGTACTTAAATCCTTCTTTAGTCAATGGATTTTCATTTGTTAAGGCGTCTATGCATAGATCTGTATACTACTATAGATTCCACTGATATCTTGGTATCGCTACAACCAGAAACCTAAAGAACTAGTGAGGTTGTCAGACTAACATTCATATAACCACATCAATACTAGTGTAGTTCATACATCAGGCGCACCAGTCTCTCTTTCTCTCCCATTTCCATGAAATCCACTATTTTGCTGTAGAGGGGTCGAGGCATAGCATTGGCCTTTTTTCTTTAATAAAGAGTAACAATATTGAAAGTTCTTCACTAACCAAAGGGCCATCACCTAGGCTTAATTTTTGCATATAGGACTAATACTTTAAGCATAAAGTGCAAGGTGAAACTTTAAAACTGGAGTTGAGATAAAAGCACTAGATTCGTGGGTCATACGCCATCAATTGTCAACGAGAAATTGATTAAGTCCTCTCTAGGTTTATGAAATTAGCGCGATTAGAGACATCGTACCGTACAATGTAACGTCCTGGGCATACATGAAGTGTAAAAGCATAAAAACAATGAAGATCTTACAAGCACATAGTGCAAAAGATAGATCAAATCACAAATAGAGGAAAATACGATATGGTTTAAGAATCTAACATCATGTCAGGTAAGGTTTAGCAGGATTCAGCAAGTTTAAGATCCTTACAAGTTCGACTAAACATAGCTGAGGTAACACAAATATAGCAAATGGTTTATATAACAGAACGCAATATGACAAAAGTAGAAGCAAGTTAGATCCCGTTTTACCTCCCACTCTTCTTGATCCTTAATCCCTTCATATGCCATGAGGAATGGCTTCATTTTTTCAAGAGCATCACGAAGAGGAATTGGAGGTGTCTCATCAATATCAGGATTGCTTTCAAAGTCTCCCATCAGGTACTCTGGTTCACACTCTATCTGCAGAAAAAAGTTACATCAGAGAACTATATAAAGCAACTGAAATTACTTGGATAAAATGAATCTTTCAACAAGCCAAATGTTACCATCATGTTAGTGTGAAGGGCCTCTATGTAGGCATCATCCATGGGAGAAGGCAACACTCTGGCACTCATTTCTTCAAAGCCTTCAGCCAATGTATTCATACCTTCAGGTCCAAGCTTCTGAGCCAACTTCTCCCCATCAGCATCATCACCTAGATAAAAGCCACTCTCCAAACTACCATCTCCTCTCTCCTCATCCCGACGACCTCTTCCTCTTCCTCTTCCCCTTCCCCTTCCCCCTCTGCCTCTCACCGCACCACGACCACCCCTCCCTCTAAATCCTCCTCCCATTCCCCTTCCACCACCAACATCACCATCACCATCACCATCATCACTTCTTGACAATATCCCTACAGCCTTTTTTACTGCATCCTCCCTACTCAACCTCTGGGGAGGTGGACTGCTCGCTCTCTCCCCTGAATCTGCAACTTTCTGCTGCCGAGGCCGGAGATGGCGATTCTCTTCCTTAGGCTTCTCAGAGACAGGAGAAGCCGTTTGCAAGGGCTTCCCTCGCCCCGCACCAGTCAAAACTGATATTACACTAGAAGAGAGATTTGAATCATCTCTCGGTGTCGGAGCATCAGAAGAACTAGAATTTGAATCAGCTGTTTCTTCTTCCTTCGCGAAGAAAATCGGTTTCCTCAGTGGCTGCTGCTGTTGTTGTTGTTGCTGTTGCGGCTGAGGTGGTGGAGAAAATGGACCGATCCCACCTCGGCCACGGCCAGCAGGAGGATTAGGGTTATCGACAACGGAGTAAAATGAGGGAACAATTGGGGACGAAGGTAATGGTTTACCTCGACCTCGTCCATGTCCAGTTCCAGAAGGAGTAGTAGGAGTCGATGATTCCGGTTTGGAGTCTTCGGATGCGGATTTGCCCGGACTGAATCCGAAGTTTGGGAAATCGGAACCTCGTCCCCTGCCTCTACCACCACCGCCGCCGCCGGAGAAAGTGGAAAAGGCGTAAGCCGGTGAGGCGGTGGTGGGTCGGCCAATAGAGCAGTGAGAAAGCTTGCTTAAGCTTCGTCTCATTTCTTGTGAAGTAGTGTTAATGAGATCCCAAAGGGGAATGGTGCTACAGCTACTTCGTCTCCAGCACGAAGGTTTAACGACCCGGCATAAAGAGTTTTGGGTTTAGATTTTGTAAAAACAAGATTCTACTAGGACTACTTCGTAATTTCAAGTATTTTTAACAGAAGTTTGTGATTTGCTAGTTTAGAGCACACAAGTTGATTTTCGGATAACTCAATCCCTCGAGTTCTAATCAATAAAATAAAACTCATATAACCAATCAATTCCGTTTTCTAGTATTTAGTTTGTCAATACAAAATATATATTTCAATTAACTATTTATTAAAGATTCATAACAAATAATACTAGGAAACAAAATAGTAGGGAGTAGTATTTTTCAACGTCTATACTAGTGAACGAAAAATAATTAGTTATCCGATAATGAAGTCATTTTTTCGCACTAAACATAGAAAATGACTTTATTATTACTACTCCTTATATTTTGATTGGACCAAACACATCCGATATTCATTCATTTTTGTGATATTATCCTCCTTTGTGACCTTACAAGCCTGATAAAAAATTAGCAGCTAACTAGTTTAGCTATGGATTCATCAAGAATAACTCTCCGTCCATACAGATCAACGGACGTTGATGATGTACTCTCATGGGCATCCGATGATCGCATAACCCGATCCACCCATTTCAGCACATTGACTTCCAAAGAAGATGCGTTGAATTTCATCGACAAATCCTCTATCCCTTGGCGTCGATCCATATGCATCGACGATCGATCGATCGGGATGGTGGTGGCCCGACCTGGATCGGGTGATGACAGATGTCGAGCTGAGATAGGATATGTTTTAGGAGTTGAGTATTGGGGACAGGGGATTACACCGGTGGCGGTGAAGATGGCAATTCCTTTAATTTTGGAAGAGTTTCCTGAAATAGTAAGGCTTCAAGCATTATCTAATGCTGAGCATAAAGCATCACATAAAGTGTTGGAGAAGGCTGGGTTTGTAAAAGATGGTATGTTTAGAAAGTATTTATACTTTAAAGGTGAAATTAAGGATGTTGTACTTTATAGTTTTCTTTCCACTGATCCTATACCTTCATGAAATTTAAACATATGTCCCTGCTAGTGTTTTCGATGCTCTATTGAAAATAATTACTCGTATATTGTATATGTATATCTTAGTATTGCGAGACTCTACTTGTATATTGTATCCTATATCTTCATGAAATTTTCTACATATCTGCTTTCTACTTCTTCTGTTTTTTATCGTTGAAGTATGCACAAACTGACTCAGATCAAAAATAAGAAAATATGATGGGATATATATATATATATATATATATATGATCTAGACCTAGTAGCAGTCATCAGTTGGATGAACTAATAGATGTAGATAGAGACATAGAAATTTTTAAACAAAATAAATTAAAGATGTTAAATCCTCAAGTTCTCTACAATACAGGTTTTTTCTCGTCAACAGCTCATTTATACAGACATTATAGAGAAGAACAATTAAGTGTATCAGAAAACGATAGTGAAAGTATAAATTTAATTAGTAAAGAATCTATGAAAGAAATTCAGAAAAGACGAATGAATCTCATGCACATGGGATTGGTGGTAATTGGGCTTAAAGGATTAACAAGAAAAAATTTGGGTACTAAAGTACTTATTACTTTATATGATAGCAGATGGTCAGAATCCAAAAGATCAATTATAGGTTTGACCGAAGTAGACATGAGTAATAATGGAGGAATTTTTTACTGTAGCCCGGATTTTATGATAAATTCAAAAGAGTTTGGAAATTACATAAAAATAGGCATACAGACTAAAGGTTACGAAGAAATGAACTGTGGAAACAATCTTTTAGTTTGTGTCGGCTTTATAGGAAAATTAGCCAATAACAGTAGTTCAAGGTTTAAAATAAAGATAGACGATGCTGTAGGAATAATGGGGAATAAAGGAATAAAACTAATGAATCCTTTAAAAATAAATTCTGAAGAATTGGTATCATGAAGATAGACGATGCTGTAGGAATTGGTACCAATAAAATTAGCTAATTTTATTGGCTAATTTTCCTAGTAGTAGTCATCAGTTGGATGAATTAATAGACGTAGATAGAGACATAGAAATTTTTAAACAAAATAAATTAAAGATGTTAAATCCTCAAGTTCTCTACAATACAGGATTTTTCTCGTCAACAGCTCATTTATACAGACATTATAGAGAGGAACAGTTAAGTGTATCAGAAAACGATAGTGAAAGTATAAATTTAATTAGTAAAGAATCCATGAAAGAAATTCAGAAACAACGAATGAATCTCATGCACATGGGATTGGTAGTGATTGGACTTAAAGGATTAACAAGAAAAAATTTGGGTACTAAAGTCCTTATTACTTTATATGATAGCAGATGGTCAGAATCCAAAAGATCAATAATAGGTTTAACCGAAGTAGACATGAGTAATAATGGAGGAATTTTTTACTGTAGTCCAGATTTTATGATGAATTCAAAAGAGTTTGGAAATTACATAAAAATAGGCATACAGACTAAAGGTTACGAAGAAATGAACTGTGGAAACAATCTTTTAGTTTGTGTCGGCTTTATAGGAAAATTAGCCAATAACAGTAGTTCAAGGTTTAAAATAAAGATAGACGATGCTGTAGGAATAATGGGGAATAAAGGAATAAAACTAATGAATCCTTTAAAAATAAATTCTGAAGAATTGGTATCATGAAGATAGACGATGCTGTAGGAATTGGTACCAATAAAATTAGCTAATTTTATTGGCTAATTTTCCTAGTAGTAGTCATCAGTTGGATGAATTAATAGACGTAGATAGAGACATAGAAATTTTTAAACAAAATAAATTAAAGATGTTAAATCCTCAAGTTCTCTACAATACAGGATTTTTCTCGTGAATTTAGGCCATACGAGAAACAAGTTATAGTTGACCAAGAATATCATTGGTATCTATTAAGAATAAGACAGAACTATAGAGATATATACGATTTTTTGATAGAACAAAGACAACTATATTTTGAACAATTAAGGCTATTTTCAGACTTGTTGACCTCAAATCAGATATCTCTTATACGACAGGAAATAAAACAGATAGATTTACAAATACCTACTATAGGAGCTAGAGTTTGTCACTACATAACAGAAATTAGAATAGAAAC